ACCTAGCAAATCCCAAAAAAAACAATATTAAACGTCCAAACCAAGTGAATAAAGCCCAACATCACAAAGGAGTGAAATCAAAAACAAACCTAAGTAGACAATATATCTGTGATTAGTTTCTGATTTAGGGCTTCTTCATTTTCAGTTAACGGTTCCTTCTTTATTAGAAAGTCAAGCAGCCCCATTTTTGAGATGTTATTCTTCAAGGCAAGCTCTTTTTCCTTAATTGCCCACATATTCTTGAACTCAGTCATCACACTGGCCTCTGCCTTGACCTTCTTTCCTCTTGCTTTCGCAGCCTTCACACCAGGAGGCCGGATGTTCGCTTGACCATCCTCGCAACTCTTGCCCTCATCTGCATTCCAAGTTGGCGACTGTGAAATCTCTCCAGCCGTTCTTTTTTTTTAGAAGTCGCATCTGTTTTGGTTGTGGAAAGCTCAGACCATTTTTGGTCGTTCCTCAACTCCTTCCACGCATGCTCCAAGTTAAACTTCTTATTCTGATCGCTGAAGAATATCTAGTGAGCCACTTTCAGTACGTCGTTGTCATTCTGCCCACTCTCTCTCTCTTGATTCTGTCTCATACGTGCTGCAGAACTTACAAACTAAGTCATTTATTTTGTGCCACCTTTGCTTACACTGGCCTGCACCGCGCGGTTCACTTCCTGGCTTCAAACTCTCTGCATAGTATGCAGCAATCCGCTTCCAAAAGGCTCCTGAACGTTGCTCAGTGCCCACAACAGGTTGAGGTGCTGAGCCATGAGCTGATGAGGAGAACATCCTCGTAGGGTGACCAAGACTTTCTTCCTCGCTGGGAGACCAAATCCGCATGCGTATCACCAATGATTGAAGGCTGAGTACACTGAGTACTGAACATGGGAACATGATCATGAGAAGGAAACGAATCAAAATCTTTATCTTCATGTTGACTGTTCAACAAGTCAACAAATTTGGAGGACTGGGAAAATGGATTAGCCGAATGCAAATCCATTTCGACAAAAGAAGAGAAAGAGATGAAACAGATGAAGCAAAATAAAGTGATGAAGGAAAGATATATAGGAATGAAAGCGAGAGGATTAAATAGAGAGATGAGTAGAGATTAAAGAGAGATGAAAACAGATAAAAGAGATAGAGGAATTAATGGATATCTAACCAGGTTGACAAGACATCAACCTAACAAGTATTTAACACTTATCTATGTTCGCAATTTATGACCGTTAATCAGCATTAACTAACTGTGACACTTATCAACCTAACAACCTGAACTCCAATAAGCATTAACTACCAACACTCTACATCACGTATATTCACTTTGCAACTGTTTTTTTTTTAATGAAAGCCGGATAACACTAAACTCTTTAACAATGGCTAAGTGATGTGATTGTCTAACTATCCGTAAGCTGCAGTCAACCATAAACAAAGGTAAGCTGCATTCAACCATAAAAAAAGGTAAGCTGCATTCAACCCAGTAGCCGTAAGCTGCATTCAACCATAAACAATCATTACACACTAGTCATACAAGAGATATAAAAATTAAAGAAGATAATATTTTTTATGAAACTTATCTTTTGCTTATGAAATCTGCAGAGCTTGCCTTTATCCCATTCCTACATAATCACATATAGGCCGAAGGAACTGATGTGTTGTGTGGTGAAGGTGTCAAGTTTTACCCTAAATGAAATCAATAGCGGCAAGTGTACAGCTGATCGATTGTAGTACTTATGGATCAAATCCACAGGGAAGGAGGATATTTCCTGCAAAAGCCTTCGAAAGATATGTAAAGTAAGGAAGTCTAGAACCAGACGATTTTTGTTGGTGTCTTTAAAACGTAAAAACTAATCTTAATGAGAAAATACGAGAATTAAAATGACCTAATAACTAAAATTAATGAAATTGACTAAAAATGAGAAAAACGGCTAAACCTAATTGCTTAAATAAAAATCGATTAATAGAATGAAAATGATGAACTAAAGCTTGAAATAAAATCTGTGAAAATCAATAGAAAAGAGGCGCTGGGTTTCAGGGAAATTCTCTCCGGGGTATGAACGATTCAAAACATTGCTAAAGAGTAAATTTAATAAGATCCTAGCTAAAACTTTTCAAACTCGAGTCACAGACATATGAATACACCACTGTCGTGATTATTGACAATTATCTCTCTCAACCCTGACCAGTAGGTTTCCACTCTGGTCCTGGAAGAGAAAAGATGCAGTATTAAAAATCTGAGCAATAGTCGAAATTGAAGAAGAAAGAAAAAGGGTTTAAGAGATAGATCTTTATCTCCCTAAAAGCTAAAGTATGAAAAACCTAAAAGTATTCTAAAACAATAAGAGCATAAGATGGCATACGAATTAGGGTTCCTAAAACATGTATTTATAGTGCTCAGGACATTTCTGGGCGTCACTTAGGGTTTCTCAAAATGAGAGAATCATTTTGGGCTTCAGAAATGGGCCTTCTAACTCGGAGATGGCTGGACGCGGTTGGAAGGGACGTGGCCGCGGTGAATGGTTGCTTGGCCGCAGTTGGGTAGCCTCTGACCGTGGTGAAATGGCTGTTGACCGCGGGTGGAAATGCTTGCCGGCTGGTTTACGGGACATCTTGCTCTTTGCGTAACTTTTGATTGAACCGTTGGATTGCCAAGATGTAAATTGTGCTGGAAAGCTGATAGTTCCATCTTTGAGATTTCCAAATTTTAACTGGATCAGACGGTGAGAAGGTCTTCATTGGGGGTGAACTTCTGACAGTTTGACTCTGAGCTGAAAATCTGGTCTTCTATCCATTTTATTAAGTTTTTTTCCCTAAGTTTCCTGAAAAGAGTCTTGGAACTATAAATACTAGAAAAAAATAATAGAAGTACTTGAAAGCAATAAAAAAACATAGAAAAAGTATTTCAAAACGATCCACAAAAGTGGTCAAAATACGATGTTATCAGGAACATAGTTTCCCAACAATATAGAACAACAGAAACCGAAGTAATAAAAGCAAATAAAGTCATTAAAAACATCATTCAAGGTCTACAACAGAAAGGATTACAGACTTGAGTATTCAAGTTCTAAAACTAGAACAAGCAAGGAGCAACATAAAGGATTCAACTAAAGGATCCAAGTTCTTAAAATACATCAAAAAACTACTAAGCCGTAAGCACTAGACCACTACTTAAGAATTACAAAGATGAATAGTCTTCTAGACTACTTCCAAACGCATAAAGAGAAAAGAGATAGCACCAAAAATTACCAAAAACAGGATAAGGAGAAAGTTAGAACCTCTTGTCGCCATTTCCTCTTTCATCCGAGCCACCTCTCGTTGAATCTCCACCACGACTTCCTTTAATTCTCCTATGTCATCCGTGTTTCTATCGATCAGAGGCTCCATGGTATATAACCGATTCTCATATGACTGCAGCTGTTGTGTCCTATTGTAGCTTTCCATTCTTCCACTCTGTTGATCAATCCTTATTTGTAGAATTGTCAACTGTTCTTCAACAGTTTCATCCCACCATTTGAAAATGTGATCTAGACTCTCCTACACAATGTAGAAGAAAAACTGAATTAGAAAATGACTAACAAAACTAGCTACAACATATATATTCATTACTCGATCTTTCCTCTCCAAAGATTGTAGGACATGTGTAAAAAACTTCCTCCCCATTGTTGCAGGAGCTGTGGACTCTTCAATGATGATGTTTTGGCCACAGTAACATCGCTGAGGAATCCCAAAGTTCCCATCGGCTTTAGCACATCCGCTGTTGTAGCTTGCTACGGAGGTAGAACTGTTGGTGTAACTGATCGGCATCGTATTGCAAAAGAGACAACAAAACCATTGCTGCATCATAATTCAATTTTGCATCGAATAAAGTTAACATCCCCAGAACTATGATCAAACCCAAAAAACTTTTTCAATCGTAAACCATGTCGGATAAAATTACATTTTCATCCTAAACCATGATCAAACCCACCCAAAAAAATAAGTCAAACAAATGATCAAACCCACCGAAAAAAATAATTCAGACAAATGATCAACCCCATCGAATAAACCCAAAGAAATGATCAAACCATGAGAATCCTCAAAAGTATGATCAAACCCACTGAATAAAGTTAACATCCAAAAATTTTCATTCGATGTCTTTTCCAAATAACAACCGGATTTATGCGAATAAACACCAACCCAAGTCAAATAGAGCAAAGAGGCCATCATCATCACTAATAAAACCCTATACAAACGAAAATTGATTTGGGGATAGAAATTAAATCGATTTGGGGGCAGAAATATAATTAGTTAGGGTTTGGAAAGTGTACCTATGTCGCCGTTATTGATTTTCGATACTTCGATGCTAGAGGATCCAGAAGCCGCCGGTGGAAGCTTAACTCTCGGTGAAACGCCGTCGGACAAACAGCATCTTCGAAATCGCTTTCGATGGATCAAACGAGGAAAACTCGGGAAAGAAATGTATTGACCAAAAAAAACCCCAGAGAAATGATATTTCTTTCTAAATATTTACGACCAATCACGCTTTCACATATGGCATAAAAGACGTCTCTTATCATCCCGAATTAATAAGAGACGGTCCAGAAATCGCTTTAAAGATGGTCAGGCAGAAAACAAAAGGCAACACACATGTAATTTGTCCGATCTACCCCAACTTGCCAAATTGATATTTTTAGGACAGAAAATTACATAATAGCTAAATGATATACGATGGATTGTTGACAACTTGTGTTTTTTTTTTTTTTTTTAATTAGGGTTGAAAGATACGAGAAGATGTTTTTCACCACTCCATGCTATATTTTAAAAGCCTTTTTGGACAATATCATGTCTTATCGAAAATCAAAATCTTATCGTTGAGGATCAATTGGAATGGTCAAATTTTCAATCAGAGTTTTAAAATATTCAGTTTTTAAAAATAATCATTTGAAAGAGAAAAAAAAATGATTCGTTAATTATATAGAAGTACTTAGAAGAATTTAGAAGTCCATATTACTGTATTAATAACTAGGTGAATACCTATATGTCACCAGTAGGAGAACATGTTAAAACTGAGCCCATAAACGGATTCCAGCGATGCTTCTTTTCCCGTTGCAAAACGAAACGAAGAGAACCTTTCTCTTATGACTATATGTATAGCATTTGCTCATATTATTCCAACTCCACACATTTTTCAACTGAAAACAAAAATATTGCATATTCTTTCCCTTTACGTTCCTTTTTGTTCATTTTAAACTCAGAAATCAAAGTTTGGAGAGTTCAAGTGATTCGAAAGAGAAGATGGTTTTGTCTAAGACAGCTTCTGAATCGGACGTTTCGATCCATTCAACTTTTTCTTCCCGGTACGTCCGCAACACTCTTCCACGGTAAGAAAAAAATTTACATGGAAGTATGATGTAAAAACAGTAACATTTCAACCTCATGACTTGTTTTTTATAATTACCAGATACTGTTTCAGCTTTTTAGACACACAAAAACGAACTTTAATTTGTTGGGTATGATTAATCCAAGTTAAAACATTCTACTTCTATGCATGACGTTAACCTGTTGACTTAAGCTTGAAGATAACATTTTAGAAGCTAGTAAGTATTTCCTATTAGGATTAGGAATATGTTTAGGAGTTATCTAAACTTAATTAGGAAGTTCTCTAAAGAAAATGAAAGTTGTTATTCTAATAGGAAAAGGAAACTAGCCTCTATATAAGAGATACCAAAGTTGTGGTAGTCCTTATGAGATTTGAGAGAGCTTAAGTTTTTGAGTTATTTTTCTTGAGCTAATAAAGAGAGTTATTCTTTGTTATTGAGTTCTTTCATAAAGTTCGATTTCAGTAATTGGTATCAGAGCCTTAGAAGGATCAAACCAAGTCCAGAAGTTCGATCATAAAGATTCTGAAAAACCAAAACTATGGGAGACCTTATCCCTAACCCTAACCTGCGACCAAAAGAACCGAGTATCTCCTCCATACAATGCCCGATGCTTAACTCCACAAATTATACGGTTTGGGGCATCCGTATGAGGAGTTTACTCAAAGTGCATAAGGTCTGGGATATCGTCGAAACTGAAACAGAGGATGCCGAGAAGAACGATGTAGCAACATCACTACTTTTTCAGTCAATACCTGAGACTCTTGTCCTTCAAGTTGGAGAACTAACTACTGCAAAGAAAGTATGGGAAGCGATCAAAACAAGGCATATGGGAGCAGAGCGAGTTAAAGAGGCTAGATTGCAGACGCTGATGTCCGATTTTGATCGGCTGAAGATGAAAGATACTGAAACTATAGATGACTTCAGCAGCAAGCTATCTGAAATTTCTTCCAAATCAGCTGCGTTAGGCAACACACTTGAAGATTCAAGATTAGTGAAGAAATTTCTCAGCAGTCTTCCTCGCAAGAAGTATATCCATATTGTTGCCTCACTTGAACAGGTGTTGGACCTCAATACCACGAGCTTTGAGGATATCATTGGGCGTTTAAAGGCATACGAAGAAAGGATACATGAGGAAGAAGAGGCTCAAGAGGAGCAGAGTAAACTGATGTATGCAAATACAGATACTCAGTCCCCACAAGATTCCAATGGTGAATATAGAAGCAGAGGTCGAGGAGGACGTTTCTATGGCAGAGGAAGAGGAAGGGGAAGGAACAATGGACCAAGAGATATGTCCAAGATAACTTGTTATCGTTGTGACAAAACAGGACACTTCGCTTCGAACTGTCCCGATCGGCTACTCAAGTTACAAGAGGCACAAGAGGATGACAACACTGATACGCAAGATGCAGACAAACTGTTGATGCACGAAATTGTCTACCTGAATGAAGGAAAAGTAGTGCCAAGTACCTACCAAACTAACTCCAAAGAAGACAATATCTGGTACCTTGACAACGGAGCCAGTACCAAACTAACAAGATCGACGCTATTTCGCACATATTGATGATTCGATTACGGGCAAAGTACGTTTTGGTGATGACTCCAGGATCGATATTAAAGGAAAAGGAACAATAGAGTTTACCGACAGAAACGGCAAGCCAAGAAAGATGGCTGATGTTTATTACATTCCAAACTTGAAAAGTAATATCATCAGTCTCGGACAAGCTACAGAATCAGGATGCGAAATAAGGATGAAAGGGGAGCATCTGTTAATGCACGATCGAGAAGGAAAGCTATTAGCCAAAGCCACCACATCGAGAAATCGGCTATACAAGGTTCAAATGAGTTTCAAGAATGATGAGTGTCTACATTCAAACCGTGACAAGCAGTTCAAGCAGGTGGCATGAGAGATTGGGTCATGTAAACTTTGATACAATGAAAACCATGATGCAGAAGGAGCTAGTGTCAGGGATTCCAAACATACCCATCGAAAGGAAAGTCTGCAGATCATGTCTTCTTGGAAAACAAACAAGACACGTGTTTTCCCAAGCCACCTTATTTCGAGCAAAGAAGAAACTTGAATTGATTCATGGAGATTTGTGTGGCCCTATAACACCATCAACAGCTGCAGGAAACAGATACGTTTTTGTTCTTATTGATGACTATTCCAGGTACATGTGGACAACACTTCTTAAAGAGAAGAGTGACGCTTTCGAGAGATTCAAAAGATTCAAAGTTTCAGTAGAACAAGAATCAGATGCGAAGATTCAAACCTTCCGAACAGACAGAGGAGGAGAGTTTGTATCACTCGAATTCAACACCTTCTGCGACAACTCAGGAATAAAGCGTCATCTTACAGCTCCGTATACGCCTCAACAAAACGGCGTTGTTGAAAGGCGGAATCGAACGTTAATGGAAATGACAAGAAGTATTTTGAAACATAAGCTAGTTCCAAATTACTTATGGGGTGAAGCTGTAAGGCATTCTACGTACCTTCTGAACAGAATTTCCACAAGAGCTCTAAAGGATAAAACTCCATACGAGATGTTTCACGGCAGAAAACCCAACATAGGCCATTTTCGAACCTTTGGATGTATCGGGTATGCAAAGTTGGAAGCATCACATCTAAAGAAATTGGATGACAGGTCGAGAATATTGGTTCATCTGGGAACAGAACCAGGGTCAAAAGCATACTGTTTGATGGATCCAAAGACAAGAAAGGTGGTGGTGAGTAGAGATGTGGTCTTCGATGAAGAAAGAGGATGGAACTGGAACCAAGATAATTCGGAAGTGAATAAAGCTGGGAGTTTCAAAATCAGCTTCGGTATCTATGGGAATCGTGGGATTCAGGACTCAGAAAGTGAGACCACTGAAACAGAGCTCGACGGAACAGAGCTAGACGAAAGAGAGCATGGCGAAATTATCGAATATGGTGACGAAGAAGACGAAGCCATACACGATAATGAGGAAATCGAGACAGGAAACAATGAAATTCAACCTGCACTGAGAAAATCACAACGTCCTAGAGTCAAGCCGAAATATCTCGATGATTTCGTGATGCTCTGCGAAGAAGAAGCCGAGATGCTCCTATTAAGTTTAAACGACGAGCCGAGAAACTTTAATGAAGCAAAGGAGTCAAAGGAATGGATAAGTGCGTGTGAGGACGAGATGCGATCGATCACAAGAAATCGCACATGGGATCTAACAGACCTACCTCAAGGAGCAAAACCGATTGGGTTAAAATGGGTATTCAAAGTTAAAAGGAACTCTGACGGAAGCATTAACAAATACAAAGCTCGTCTCGTCGCCAAAGGTTATGTACAGAGGTATGGGATCGATTTTGACGAAGTATTCGCACCAGTAGCATGAATAGAGACAATAAGACTCCTTATCAACCTCGCAGCATCACATGGTTGGCAAATACACCATTTAGACGTCAAAACTGCATTTCTCCACGGAGAATTGAAAGAAACCGTTTATGTCACACAACCGGAAGGCTTCGAAGTGAAAGGGAAAGAAGATAAGGTATACAAGCTTAATAATGCCTTGTATGGGTTAAGGCAAGCACCAAGAGCCTGGAATCATAAGTTGGATCAAATCCTTAAAGAACTGCAGTTTGTTAAGTGCTCTAAAAAACCCTCGGTTTACAGAAGATTAATGAGTGGAGATCTTCTTCTGGTTGCAGTTTACGTAGACGATTTGCTTGTTACAGGAACGAACACGGAACACATCTACAAGTTTAAAGGGCAAATGGCATCCAAATTCGAGATGAGCGACCTTGGTACACTAACATATTATCTTGGGATAGAGGTCTTACAACATGAAGAAGGGATAATCTTAAGTCAAAGATGCTATGCACTAAAGATTCTGGAAGATGCGGGAATGCAAAACTGCAATATGACTCATACACCGATAGATCCAGGACTTAAGCTATCCAGATCAGAGGAAGAAAAAGACATTGATGCCACAAGTTATCGGAAGAATGTAGGGTGTCTCCGTTACCTGCTACACACAAGGCCTGACTTAGCTTATTGTGTAGGCGTCTTAAGCAAGTATATGCAAAGGCCTAAAGACTCTCATGGAGCAGCAATGAAGCATTGTTTGAGATACTTTCAGGGAACAACCAATTACGGCTTAATATTCAAACGATCAAAAACAGAGGTACCAAAGCTCACAGGTTTCAGCGATAGCAGCTATAGCGTGGATCCTGATGATGGGAAGAGCACAACAGGTCACATTTTCTATCTTGGAGAAGGCCCTATTTCTTGGTGTTCACAGAAGCAAGAGATTGTAGCTCTATCATCATGTGAAGCAGAGTTTATGGCGGGAACTGAAGCTGCAAGGCAAGCAATTTGGCTGCAAGATTTGCTTAGTGAGATCACCGGTTCATCGAGTCAGAAAGTTATCATTCGGAGTGATAACCAGTCTGCAATAGCACTCACAAGAAATCCAGTGTTTCATGGTAGAAGTAAACACATTCACACAAGGTATCATTTTATAAGGGAGTGCGTTGAGAACGGTCAAGTGGAAGTTGAGCATGTACTGGGCAGCAAGCAAAAGGCAGACATATTGACCAAGGCACTAGGAAGGATCAAATTTAAGGAGATGAGGGATCTCATGGAAGTTCAAAGTGTGATAGATGATAACTTCAAGCTTAGAAGGGAGAATGTTGACTTAAGCTTGAAGATAACATTCTAGAAGCTAGTAAGTATTTCCTATTAAGATTAGAAATATGTTTAGGAGTTATCTAAACTTAATTAGGAAGTTGTCTAAAGAAAAGGAAAGTTGTTATTCTAATAGGAAAAGGAAACTAGCCTCTATATAAGAGATACCAAAATTGTGGTAATCCTTATGAGATTTGAGAGAGCTTAAGTTTTTGAATTATTTTTCTTGAGCTAATAAAGAGAATTATTCTTTGTTATTGAGTTCTTTCATAAAGTTCGATTTCAATATAACCTGATTACAACTTTATGGGTTTTCTGCAAGGAAATATCTCCAAATGATACATTTTTGCAAATTTACTCTCAACTTACAAAAAGTATATCAAATTCATGAAATTGAACTTAACCCGTGATATAACCCGTTTTTATCGTCTTCAAGTTTATTTCATTATGAGAAATATTATATTTCAAATCTAATCTCTTGCGACGAGGAGTACAGATCTACTATAAAATTTAGTAACTATAATGTATCGCTCGTTAAATTCGACTTTGTGAGTCTAATCCGTACGAAATTAAGAGTAAACTTGTAAGAGATAATGTCATTTAGAAGGCTTTCATTTCAGAAACTAATTTTATAGGATTTTTTTCTTATTTTGAACTTGAATATAGCATCATCAGATTTGAAATGCCTAAGAACACAATCCCAAAGGAAGCAGCGTACCAAATCATCAACGACGAGCTAATGCTCGATGGTAACCAAAGGCTAAACCTAGCCTCCTTCGTGACAACATGGATGGAGGCATGGAGCCAGAGTGCAACAAGCTCATGATGGAGTCAATCAACAAGAACTACGTCGAAATGGACGAGTACCCTGTCACCACCGAGCTTCAAAACCGTTGCGTCAACATGATCGCGCGTCTCTTTCACGCGCCGCTCGGTCACGGCGAGGCTGCGGTTGGTGTCGGCACCGTGGGATCGTCCGAGGCTATAATGTTGGCCGGGTTGGCTTTTAAGAGACGGTGGCAGAATAAGCGTAAGGCCCATGGGCTTCCTTATGATAATCCCAATATCGTAACCGGAGCTAATATTCAGGTAAACCAAAATAAATTGATGAAATATTAAACCGGTTTAGCTCTCTCTTTCTCAATTAAAATCGAAATTTTTGTTATCTTAAGCAAAAAAAACATTTTTATATTCTGAATTTTAGCTCCCTTTTTTCTCAAATTACAAAAGAGTGAAACAAATAAACGACTAAAAAAAACAAAACAAAAATGGTAATTCCGGTCAAGGTCTATGTTTTACTCAATTATCGGTTCAATACAGGTTTGCTGGGAGAAATTCGCAAAGTATTTCGAGGTGGAGATTAAGAAAGTGAAACTAAGAGAAGGATATTACGTGATGGACCCTGAAAAAGCGGTTAAAATGGTAGACGAGAATACAATCTTCGTTGCAGCCATCCTCGGTTCGACGCTAACCGGAGAATTCGAAGACGTTAAACTTCTCAATGACCTTCTAGTCGAGAAAAACAACCAAACCGGGTAACTAAAGCAAGCCGACTAAAAAACTAATAATTAATCGATTTTATCCGGTTCTATCCCGGGTTAACGTTTTTGAATTTGCAATTGGCAGATGGGAAACGCCGATCCACGTGGACGCAGCGAGTGGTGGGTTTATTGCACCGTTCTTATATCCGGAGCTGGAGTGGGATTTTCGGTTACCATTGGTTAAGAGCATAAATGTGAGTGGTCACAAATACGGTTTGGTTTACGCCGGAATCGGTTGGGTTGTATGGAGATCCAAATCCGATTTGCCTAATGAACTTATCTTCCATATCAATTATCTTGGCGCCGATCAACCCACCTTCACTCTCAACTTCTCCAAAGGTAACATATTACGTTACCATTTCTATATTTTTATAAAACCATATTACGCATATAGAATTGTTCTAACGATTTGCTAATGCTTGTTAATATAAACCAGGTTCAAGTCAAGTTATTGCTCAGTACTACCAGCTGATTCGACTTGGATTTGAGGTAAATCAGTAGTAACTCAAAGCATGACCAAATTACAATTTTCAGAATTTAAATTAGGTGCTCAATATAAATAGAACGAAATGATATTAAATTTGAATAAAAATAATGTAAATAACGCTTAATTTTTCTAATTTGACCCAATAAAAAAGCTGAAATCAAATTCAAGTTTTTGATCGAATATAGAATATTTTTGGTGTTTTGTATTAATAAGGAAATAACATTATCCATATGTAATACTAACAAATAAAATTAAAACGAAATAGAAATTTGGATTAAACATCCTTTCACAAAAAATAATGATGTTTTTTTTATTATTGAATAACTAATAATTTTTTTTTTTGTTTAGGGATATCGCAATGTGATGGATAATTGCCATCAAAACATGATGATTTTAAGAGAAGGACTAGAGAAAACGAGACATTTTAGCATCATCTCAAAAGAAAATGGTATTCCGTTAATAGCATTTTCTCTAAAAGACAGTAGTTGTTATAAAGAGTTTGAAGTAGCGAAAATGCTCCGTAGGTTCGGATGGATTGTTCCGGCCTACACGATGCCCGCAGATGCAGAACACATCACCGTTCTCCGAGTCGTGAGTCGAGAAGATTTCTCTCGTACCTTAGCCGAGAGATTGGTCGTAGACTTAAATAAGGTTCTTCATGAGCTTGATACGCTTTCTCCGAGGATATACGCCAAGATGTGATAGAGAATGTAAGCTACATAGCATGATCACAGATATATTACCAAGAGAATTCGGTGTGATCTTGGATCTTGACTCAGACAAGAGAGTTTTGACAGAGTTTTGACTAAGGCAATAGGGCGAGAGGTACTCCTTGAAAGTTAAAATAGAGGCCAAAATTCATGTGGATACCTTGCCAAAGGCAAAGAAACAAGTGTTTTAGTTCCTGCTAGAACTAACATTCAAATCTAAATCATTATAGTTTCTGCTAAACCTAACACCGAAGTTTCCAACGCTAGAAACAAATGTTCATAAATTTCAATTGTTAACATTTCATCAAATAAAAATTGTTAACACAGAGATGGAAACTTCAATTTGTAACATAAAGGCCCACATGTTTGGTACTTTTTGTTTTTGAGAAAAAAAAGTACCAAACATTGTATTAGCCAGAACCTTCATGGAATTTGTATTAGAAGAAGATATCACAAACCTTCTTGAGAGTGTATTTATATTTGACACATCTGAAATTGACCAAAAGCCAGAAGTAGTCAAGATGGCCTATGTTAAGGTTGTCTTTAAGGACTCCAACCATCACTTTTGCCACTCAAATATGCCACAAGAGTATAATGATCATCGAGCTCAAGTAGTTTTCGAGTGTCGTAGTGAGAAGAGCCACATATCACGTTGTAGAACGGAATATTACATTCGATGTCCACATGTCACATTGTAGTTGGTTAATCTTAACTGACAAGTTATATCCCAAACAATAATAAAACTAAAATAATTTTACATATAATTTTTCATTATAAAGTCATGAATAACATATTCAAAAGTAATAAAAACAGCTCTAAAATAGTACAATGTTTTCATTTATTTATTTTAAACAAAATTACTGGAACACAAAGTTAATGGACCTTTGTAATCACAACTTTTTAAAATTTAATTTAATTTTTTAACCTTTTCCTTGCATTAATTTGATTGAAACAAAAGTGCTCACCATAGTTTTACAAAGTGGGGAGTTATTTTAAGCTACAAATATCGATTGTTAAAATCAAAGCATATCAAAAAAGAAACGATCATAGATTGTATAAGAATGATCTACGAGTGGATTGCTAGCACTGCATTGGTGTTGGAGGTGGGTTTAGCACCCCCCTATTTAGCCCAACAGGCCCATCAAAATCCACCAGCATTACAATTTTGGCCCATTAACAAGGCCCACAAAATCATCCCACCGTCATCACGTCACCTACTCGCTCACTATAAATAGAAGAGATGAGGAGACCAAGAAAGAGGATCTCGGAAAGGAGAAGAGAAATAGCTCGCCAAGGGATGAGAACACCCACCTCGCCAAAATCACCATCACCTCGCCAAAATCACCATCACCTCGCCAAATTCACCATCAGCTCGCCAAAATCACCATCAC